AGTGTGTTGCTGCAGGAAGCCGAGATGAAGATGTGGTTTTTCTCAGCAAGACCCAGAGAGGGGCTGGCCAGAGACGAGTATCTCATGGGGCTGGGGGGGGCAGTGTGTTGCTGCAGGAAGCCGAGATGAAGATGTGGTTTTTCTCAGCAAGACCCAGAGAGGGGCTGGCCAGAGACGAGTATCTCATGGGGCTGGAGGATTAGAAGTGCTGAAAATGGAGCTGAGGGTACCTGTTACCCCACCAACCCACATTCCTATGTGAGGGTCTAGCTAGGCTTCATACCAGAGACCCTCCCCTGAGCCATCTCCCCTCTGTGCCCCCCGCGCCTCTCTGCTTAGGCTCCACGTGGGACACCCAGGAACGCAGGCTCACTCCATGCCACTCTAGGTGAAAGTCAACGTCGACGCAAATGGAGTAAAAGTTGTAAATGAACCAAACTGTTCCTTAGAATCGTTATGGTTACTAATGTCATCATATATATAGTATCCCAGTGTCTGTGAGTCTCTAACTCCGAAATGCTGGCTGTTCCCCTGACCAAGATAGGGACAGTGACTAGGAACTGCTAGAGGAGATGAAAGAGGCTATTAAAATACAAAACTCAGTAATCACGGAGGATTTCAGTGACTCCATACTGACTGGGTAAATGTCACCTCAGGATGGGCTGCAGAGATAAAGTTTCTTGAGTCCTTAAATCAGGGCCAGTCAACATGCGACCCACAGCCCCTTTGTTTGCAGCACGCAGTGCGGTTTGGGTTTACGTGGGGCTCAACACGCGGCCCGCAGGTGGGAGCCAAAACAAAAAAGTAGCCAATAGAAAGGTCTTCTGTTGACGTGCGTTTTAGTAGTTACATTCCTGGACTGCCGTTGCTCATTAAAAGTGCTGTAGGGAAAGTGACTAGGAACTGCTGGAGGAGATGAAAGAGGCTATTAAAATACAAAACTCAGTAATCACGGAGGATTTCAGTGACTCCATACTGACTGGGTAAATGTCACCTCAGGATGGGCTGCAGAGATAAAGTTTCTTGAGTCCTTAAATCAGGGCCACTCAACATGCGGCCCACAGAACGCAGTGCGGTTTGGGTTTACGTGGGGCTCAACATGCGGCCCGCAGGTGGGAGCCAAAACAAAAAAGTAGCCAATAGAATGCTCTTCTGTTGACGTGCGTTTTAGTAGTTACATTCCTGAGCTGCCGTTGCTCATTAAAAGTGCTGTCAGATGGGTGGAAACTGGGTAAATATTGCATTTTATTAATATCAGCAGAACTGACTGAAATGGGGCCTGAGTGTCTCATCTTAATTTTTATATTCACGCCCCTCTGTTTCAAATGAGCTATTCACCAATGTTTGAATATTCTTTGCATGTATATGCAACCACACCTAAGTTTTGTCCCTCGGCATGTGCTGTGAGTATCACTGTGGCCCCTGGGGCTTCCAAAGCTGAGTAGCCCTGCCTTAAATGTCTGCTTCTTCTGACAGCTGTTCTGGAATCCACAAGGGGAGAGACAATTCCTGATTTAGTCCCAAGTGGCGCGCACGATCTGGTCCAAGAGGTGACTAGAGGTGGACCGCGTGGAAATAGTGACCACACTGACAGAAGTAAGATAAAGGGTGTCACATCTTAATTTTTATATTCGTGCCCCTCTGTTTCAAATGAGCTATTCGCCAATGTTTGAATATTCCTTGCATGTATATGCAACCACACTTAAGTTTTGTCCCTCGGCATGTGCTGTGAGTATCACTGTGGCCCCTGGGGCTTCCAAAGCTGAGTAGCCCTGCCTTAAATGTCTTCTTCTTCTGACAGCTGTTCTGGAATCCACAAGGGGAGAGACAATTCCTGATTTAGTCCCAAGTGGCGCGCACGATCTGGTCCAAGAGGTGACTAGAGGTGGACCGCGTGGAAATAGTGACCACACTGACAGAAGTAAGATAAGGTCATTGTGGAGATACTAAATGAATCCTTCGCATCACTCTTTATGGCTGAGGATGGGAGGGAGATTCCCAAACCTGAGCCATTCTTTGTAGGTGACAAATCTGACAAATAGTCCCAGATTGAGGTGTCATTAGAGAAGGTTTTGGAAGAAATTGATAAAGAGGAACAAACACTGAGACAATTTGGAATTCACCCAATTCTGAAAGAATTTAAATGTGAAATTACAGAACTGTTAATTGTGATTTGTAACCTGCCCTTTAAATCATCTTCTGTACCAATGACTGGAAGATAGCTAATATTTAAAAAGGGCTCTACAAGTGATCCTTACAATTACAGACCGGGAAGTCTAACGTCAGAAAAGGGGAAAGTAGTTGAAACTATAATAGAGAACTGAATTGTCACAGACATCGATGAACAGAATTTGCTGGGGAAAAGCCAAAATGATTTCTGTAAAGGTGATTTCTACTAATCTACTAGAGTTCTTTGAGGGGGTCAACAAGCATGTGGACCAAAGGATCCAATACATATAGGCAACGTCTACACTGGCATGATTTTCCAATAAAAGTTTTCCAATAAAAGTTTTCCCATAAAAGCATTTTCGGAAAAGCGTGTCTAGATTGGCAGGACGCTTTTCCAGAAAAGCACTTTTTCCGGAAAAGCATCCGTGGCCAATCTAGACACTCTTTTCCGCAAAAAAGCCCCAATCGTCATCTTCACGATTGGGGCTTTTTTGCGGAAAACACTACTGTGCTGTCTACACTGGCCCTTTTCCGGAAGGCTACGTCTAGACTGGCCCCTTCTCCGGAAGAGGCATGCAAAGCAGACAAGTCAGAATAGGGAAATCCGCGGGGGACTTCCAGAAAAGGGGCCAATGTAGACGTAGCCCTTCTGTACTAATTACAGGAAGATAGCTAATATTTAAAAAGGGCTCTAGAAGTGATCCTCACAATTACAGACCAGGAAGTCTAACGTCAGAAAAGGGGAAAGTAGTTGAAACTATAATAGAGAACAGAATTGTCACAGACATCGATGAACAGAATTTCCTGGGGAAAGACAAAATGATTTCTACTAATCTACCAGAGTTCTTTGAGGGGGTCAACAAGCATGTGGACCAAAGGATCCAATACCTATAGGCTACGACTACACTGGCATGATTTTCCGGAAATGCTTTTAACAGAAAAGTTTTCCAAGTCTAGACTGGTAGGACGCTTTTCCAGAAAAGCACTTTTTCCAGAAAAGCATCCATGGCCAATCTAGACCTGCTTTTCTGCAAAAAAGCCCCGATTGTCATTTTCGAGATCGGGGCTTTTTTTCGGAAAACACTACTGTGCTGTCTACACTGGAGACACAGCCATATTGTACTTAGATTTCCAGAAAGCCTTTGACAGGGTCCTTCATCAAAGGCTCTTAAGTAAAGTAAGTTGTCACGGGATGAGGGGGAAGGTCTTCTCAGGAATTGATAACTGGTTCAAAGACAGGAAACAAAGAGTAGGAATAAATGGTTAGTTCTCACAATAGAGAGAAGTAACTGGTGGTGTCCCACATGGCCCTGTACTGGGACCAGTCCTACTCAACATATTTGTAAATGATCTGGAGAAAGGGGTAAACGAGGTGACAAAATTTGCAGATGACGCTAAACTGCTCAAGAAAGTGAATTCCAAAGCAAATGTGAAGAGCTTCAAATGGATCTCACACAAGTAGATGACTGGGCAAGAAAACGGCAAATGAATTTTAAAATTTATAAATGCAAAATAATGCAGATCGGAAAACATAATCCCATCTATACGTACAAAATGATGGGGACTAAATTAGCAATTGCAACTCAAGAATGCTGCCAAATGAAGAGAGATTGAAAAGACTGAGACTTTCCATCTTAAAAAAAAATGAAACAAAGGAAAGAAAATGGCAAATGAATTTTAAAGTTTATAAATGCAAAGTAATGCAGATCGGAAAACATAATCCCAACTATACGTACAAAATGATGGGGATTAAATTAATAATTGAGGTTGAAAAGAAAAGAAAAGAAAAGAAAAGAAAAGAAAAGAAAAGAAAAGAAAAGAAAAGAAACTACTTCATCGCGCAACGCACAGTCAACCTGTGGAACTCCTTGCCAGAGGACGTTGTAAAGACTTGGACTTTAACAGGGTTCGAAAAAGAACTAGATAAATTCATCAAGGCCAGGTCCATCAATGGCTATTAGCCAGGATGGGTAGGGAGGGTGTCCCTGGCCTCTGTTTGTCAGAGGCTGGGAACAGGTGACACAGGAGGGATCACTTGGTGGTTTCCTGTTCTATTCATTCCCTCTGGGGCACCTGGCATTGGCCACTGTGCAGCAGACTGGACCCCGGGCTGGATGAGCCTATGGTCTGACCCAGTCTGACCGCTCTGCTGTTCTGTTTATGTTCTTATGCCCCACTACCTGAGATGCACAAGCCAGCAAGGAGCACTCCAGTGCCAGACACAGAGACCAATGCCTGGACTGGGGACCAATGAGGAGGGAGGGAGGAATGGGGGATTATGGGTGTGCATTGGGCTGCAGTTTGGGCCCGAGGTGTCTCCATCCCAGGCTGGTACCTTGCGTGGCTGCGTGGGTGACCGTAGTGCAGTGCACTTCCATCGTCTCCCCTTGTGCGCTCAGCCGGAAGGCCTCACTGTGTTGGCTGCAGTTCCCTGTGATCAGCCGTGTCTCGATAGCTGGAAGAGATCAAGGTGGGGGTGAATGACAGAGCCCCTCGCTGTGAAACCCCTTCCCTGAGAATCCTGAATGACAGAGCCCCTCACTGTGAAACCCCTTCCCTGAGAATCCGTCTTTCCTGGGCCAGATCCACACACCCCCTACTCCACTAGGACCAGGGGGGTTCACAGGTATTGCATGCTTCGGGGAAGATTAGAGCCCTCCAAGTTCCATTGATCACCCCCCCCATATCCCATTACCCTACTCTGCCTGCATCTGCCTGGGGCTTCTTCCTCCCCAGCAGGGGGAGTTGTGGGTGTGAGGGGAGGTGCCTGGCTCAGCATGTCAGCCCCTGGCAGTAGGATGCCAAATGCTGCATTGATACCCTTCTCGGGCATTGCTCTTGCTCCCGGCTGCACAGGCGGGGCCGGGTTCTCTGTCCTGGCCAGGGGCCGTGCTGTTCTAGGTCTGTACTGAACACAGGCGCCCACCCACAAAGCCACATCGGCTCCTACCTTCCCGGGGATTTGGGATACTGGGTATATCCCCATAGCTCACAGCAGCCAGCAGGGGGCGCTGAGAGCCACACGTCCCCTCTCACCCATAGACTTTGAGCTCATGTTCTGTGTCGCCTGCCCGAGAGGCTGGGGGCCCTCTCTGTCCTGGCCAGGGGCCGTGCTGTTCTAGGTCTGTACTGAACACAGGCGCCCACCCACAAAGCCACATCGGCTCCTACCTTCCCGGGGATTTGGGATACTGGGTATATCCCCATAGCTCACAGCAGCCAGCAGGGGGCACTGAGAGCCACACGTCCCCTCTCACCTATAGACTCTGTGCTCATCTTCTGTGTCGTCTGCCTGGGAGACCGGAGCGCAGCGGCCAGCGCGACCCGTTCCATGCTCTGCAGCAGGACGGTCACTGCCGACGCCACCTCCCCCTCACCAATGCTGGACCCGAGGGAGGTGCGGTTCAGGAAGGAGTTGAAAGAGCGAGTGGTTTCCTGGGGACAGGAAAGGAAAGGCCCTGGGAGTGAGGAGTGTGATGGTTCAGGTGCCACGTCCCGTGGGTTCCCAGGGGCATTGGGTGTCACAGCCTGTCCCAGCTCAGGGGCTGCAGAGCTCTCAGAGGGGGAGCCCTTTACAAACGGGCACCATGGAGGCTGATTTGGGGCCCCACTAGGGCCTGAAGCCAAATGGGGCTAGAACCCTTGGTCATTCCTTCTTCAGCCCCGCTCCCCCACCCTCCATGCCCGGGCACAACATTGGCACAAGCCCCCTGCTGCCTGGGTCGTCCCTACGCTGCACCCTTCAGCTGCTCAGAAATTGACAGCAGAGCGAGAATAGGGCCCAGATCCTGGTGCCTGAAATCCCAGGCCACTGACTGATGGGCTGAAGGGGAATCCCCACTGTCGGTTAGCAGTATAGCACCTCTGATGCACAACAGCAGCACCGCACACTGGAGGGTTTATGTGGGTGGATAAACACAACTGTGAACTCACATCACAAAATAATAAAAACACAGTCACGTGACTAGAGCCTATGCACAGGCACAGGCCAGCGTGCACACAGCACAAAGCACACACATGCACACACACACCACTAGAGTGCACGCGTACCTGCATGCATAAGCACACACCTCACTAGAAGGCCTGTACATTAGGAACATCAACACATAGTCGACTACACAATAAACCTATAAGCACGGGTTTATCACTTAATCCTACTGACTACAGCCTCAGTCTGCCTCCCCCCCTCCGCTGCTTCTGTATCAGGCAGTAGTGCAGCGGTTGGGGGGGGCGGCTTTTAAACCGGCCCTCCATGTGTGCAGGCGCCTGTGAAGCCGCGGTGGGGGCAGGAGGAAGCTGACACTTGGAAGCAGCAGGCTTTGAAGCTGGCTCCCTGCGAGAACCGGCTCCTGCAGAGTCACGTGGGCTCCACTCCACTGATTCTTATTCAGAGGCCGTGTGCGGGAGGACAGGCACCTGCCGGCTCCCACCTGCCCCCTTGCCAAAATCTCAAGCGATTACACATTTACACAAGTACCTGATAGTTAACGTTCCTAATGTATATGAGTGCGCGCGCACACACACACACACACACACACGCAAACACACATCACTAGAGGGCGTGTGCTCCCCCCAGCAGTAGAGGGCACAGATCTATTCTGAAGAGTGTGGGCATGAACACACACACACACACACACACACACACACACACACACACACACACACACAGCAGTAGAGGGCATGTGCTCCCCCCAGCAGGAGAGGGCGCAGATCTATTCTGAAGAGTGTCTCAGTGTCTCCCTCACCCCCAGGAGACCCCTAAACCGACCCAGGAGAACGCAGGGCTCCGGGGCGCACACAGGGGCACTAGCCGGCAGAGCGCAGGGCATGTGCTCCCCCCAGCAGGAGAGGGCGCAGATCTATTCTGAAGAGTGTCTCAGTGTCTCCCTCACCCCCAGGAACCCCCTAAACCAGCCCAGCACCACGCAGGGCTCCGGGGAGCACACAGGGGCACTAGCCGGCAGAGCGTAGCCAAGGGGCGGAGTCTCTCACCTCCAGGGATAATGCGACATTTCCCTCTCCACACTCAGTCTTCAAAATTCTTAATGTCGAATTGAGGAAAGAGCAGAATCCGCTGCTGCTGCCACGCAGCTCTCCCTGCAGAGAGACCCAGGCAGAGGGTGAGTTCCGCGCTGGAGGGGACCCACACTGCAGTTTGGCTCGTGCAGGGGCCTGAGTCTGTCACCACAGTTGTGTGACGGAGAAAGAGAGAGTTTCTGAGAGCAGCTGGGCTACATCAGGGCTCAGCACTGCAGAAAGCAGCCAGAGACCGACACCCTGGCACCTGACTTGTGCAGATGACGTAGCACTCCCAGGGGAGAGGAAAGAGGAAGTGAATGAAGATTTAGACACACATGGAGGTGAGTATAGAGAAAGAGAAAGTTTCTGGGAGCAGCTGGGATACATCAGGGCTCAGCATTGCAGAAAGCAGCCAGAGACCGACACCCTCGCACCTGCCTTGTGCAGATGACGTAGTGCTCCCAGGGGAGAGGAAAGAGGAAGTGAATGAAGATTTAGAGACACATGGAGGTGAGTATGTGAAAGAAAAGGCATGAAAATCGGCAGACAAAATCACACGTACATGCTCTGCGGATTCCATGCTCTTTTGCAGGAAAACATCAGGACTGTACATTTGGGGCCTGTCACTAGCAAAGCTACAGATATTTTAGAAGGGGCTAGAGCAAGGGCTTATATTTGAAAACACTTTAAGGTGATAAGTAACAGCATGAATTTATCAAAAACAAGTTGTGTCAAGCCGACCTGATAGCTTTTGTCGATAGGATATAACAAGCCTTGTGGATGGGGGAAAGCAGTACACGCGGTGTATCTTGACTTTAGTAAGGCTTTTCATATTGTCTCCTGGGACCTTCTCATAAACAAACTAATGAAATTAAACTTCGATGGAGCTACTAGAAGGTGGGTGCATAACTGGCTGGATAAGTGTTCCAGAGTGTAGCTAGCAGGGGTCCAGAGTCAAGCTGGAAGGGCATATTGAGTTAGGTCGGTAGGGATCAGTTCTGGGACCAGTTCTGATCAGTATCTTCATTTCTCTGGGAATTTCCATAGTGGTGGGCCAAAACACAGGGCAGAATCCCCGACAAATGGATTCAAACGTACCCATTTGTCAGGAAGGGGTACTGTAGAAAGGGATCTAGGGTCATAGTGGACCCCAAGCTAAATATGAGCTACCAATGTAAAGCTGTGTCTAGACTACAGGGTTTTTTCGAAAAAAAAAAAGTGGCCTTTTTTCAGAAAAACTTCCCCTGAGTCTAGACTGCTGCCGCCTTATTTCGAAGGTAAATAGAAAGAACGCAGCAGTTTTTTCGACCAGAGAAAACCTCGTTTTATGAGGAATAACTCCTTTTTTCGAAAGTGCTCTTTAGAAAAAAGGCGCTATGTAATGCAAACTGTGCTTGCAAAATGCAGACTGCCTGGGCGCTCTCTTTTGGAAAAGCAGAAGTACTGGTTGTAGTGTAGATGCTCTATTTCAAAAGAGGCTTGCAGTTTAGATGTAGCCAACACTGATGCAAAAAAGAAAAAAGAAAACACCATTCTGGGCTGTATTAGCAGGAGTGTTGGGAGCAAGACACAAGACAAATGAAAGACATTTTCTTCTGCTCTGCTCCATGCTTATTAGGCCTCACCTGGAGCACTGTGTCCAGTTCTGGATCCCACATCTCGGGAAAGATGTAGACAAATTATAGAAAGTCGAGAGGAGAGCAACAAAAATGAATAAAGATCTAGAAAGGGAAGATTGAAGAAATTTAGTCTGGAGAAGAGAAGATTGAGAGGGGACAGGATATGAGTTTTCAGGTTCATAAAAGATTAGACAGACACCTGTCAGGGAAAGCTGAGATAATACCTAGTGTTGCTATGGTTGGGGGGACTGGACTACCAACAGCAAAGGTATTTCTCTGGGAATTTCCATAG